AATGATCATGCAGTGAATTATTATTGATGACACGTGTGGCACTAATGAATTCGGAATGCCTCTCGTTGTTGGTATATACATTGACAAAACAAAACACTCTCATTGTCTTTTTTTCGCTTTAATGACAGATAGGACAACATCTTCATTTATACTTGTTTTCAAGTTTCTCAAGAGATTTATAACAATATCTGTAGCTATCTGTGATCGCTGTTTGAGTCAATTGAATGCTATCCTTCAAATATTTCCATGTGTTAATTTGATATATTGCACTCGACATATCAGAAGGAATCTAATTACATCTTTTGGTAAACACCATCATATAATCAAGATATACAACAAAGTTGTGTTTGATAATAATACACCAGAAGATGTGCTCATCAAAGAAATGTACAGAATGCTAAATCAAGATGAGTCACAAATTGTAGGAGATGTGTCAGATGATTTTGTGAACAGCAACGGTAACAAAATTTTGGACACGATACGGGAGACGATTGAATCTTTGGTTGAAAATACACAAAATGCAAAATTAACAGGAAAACCTTTGACCAAAGTAAGAATGATACGAGATCTTCTTGAGTGTGCAAAGAGTTGGTTGCCCAGTTTTACATCATTAATAACTCAAAATACAACTTCTAATGGAATAAAAGGCTTTTTTGGTTGGCTTAAAAACAAAATTGATCACAAAAAATGACTTTATATGATATTACAAAAGTGATAATTTCATGTGCAATTACTCTTGAAAACAATTCACGTTTTTCTAAACTAAACAAAGATGACATTGAATATCTTGCGGTGTATTACGATGAAAGTGTTTTAAAAAGAATCACCGAAGACACCTTATGTGGTTTAATCAGATGTGTTCACACTGTACACAATCCACTTTTGATGTCAGTGTTTGAAAATTAATCATGTACAACTTCATTAGAATCATGCACTTGCAAGTTATATGAAATTAATGGATATCCATGTCCTCATATGCTTTCGTTGTATATCACAACTTTCAAAAGAGTCCCATTAAAAGTGTTTAATTTGAATTGTCTCAAAGTTTATACAACCAAAATTATCCACGAATCATGTGTTATAAAATCGGAAGTACCTGATAATTTTTTAATATAATGATTATCAAATGTTACTTGAAAAATATTATGCAAACATTCTAGCAAATCCCACAATACTGCCAGCTGTTATTAATATTCTGGAAAATAAAAAAGTGTTATTAAAAGAAGTGGAAGAAAACAAAAAAGAAAAAGTTGAAATAAACGGCAATACAAGACTCTCTTTAACAAGAACAAGTACATCGATTGTACAAATGAATGGAACACAAATTGGAACACAAATCACAACATCTTTAACATTGGACAATATTCAAGACCCGGCAAAAATTACCAAAAGAAAACAATTAAGAGCCGCGACTGTTATTGATTACGCCGAAGGAACTAAATTTCCACCAAAACGCAAAAAAATACTTTCCAAAGAACAAATAGATTCGAACACTAAACATAGGACGTGTTTCATATGTAAAGGACAAGGACATTATGCAAAAACGTGTTTTCAAAAAGACGAATTAAACCTCTAAATTACTTTTTATTTATCTATTTCATATTAAATTTTATTTAGAAATTATAAAAATTTACTTTTAACCAATTATTTTAATTTTTTTAGAATCACTTTGTATATTCTTAAACTTAAAAATGTAAAACAAAAATGTTTTTATACAATGTTATTTGAATAAAGGTACACTGGTGCCGGTGAAAAACAGCAAACCCTGTTGTTATGTGAATTATAAGCAAGTTTATCGTGCTTTATCATTTGAAAATAATAGTTTAAATTATTGTTTCTTAACCAATTTTTAATACCAAAAATTTATTTTAAATATTTTAAAATATCAATTTTCAATAAAAAGATGTGTCATTTTAAAAGACACATCTTATGATATTTTATGTTGTAAATTATGTTTTGAGTTTAAATAAAAT